TAAAATCACTGTTATCTGTAAAAGGAAAACCATTAAAATCTGTTGCAACTATTAAAACTAACAAGTGACTGTTAGCTTTTAATCAATAAAATAGATTCACCACAAGTGGACATGTTAATAATAATATATTTAAAAGAAATTCTCTAGTAAGTAAATTTAAAGTATTGCAAAATTACCACAAAGTCTTCAGGGCCACATATTGCTGAGACTTCCCTTGAAATAAATTAAACCAAATTTGGTTAAACCCTTCAAAGGTTTCTTACTCAGAGGTTATCCCATATGACTAAGGATTCTGTCTCAATCTACACAAACTTCATTCAATCCACAGTGATTACTGACACTGACTTCCTATGGCTCAACAACCAACCATGGCAAAACTAAATCCAGTTCAGAAAAAAGGATAACTAATATTTATTATTTTCTTCATGCTGTGAAAAGGAGTATCATGTTTCCTCTCAGAGTACACCCCTGAACTTTTAGAAGTTTAACCATATGAAAGAAATCTAAAAGAGTATACGAAAAGGCTAAAGATTTGGAATTCTAATTCAATTTCCTCTCACACTTTAATAAGAGCCTGTAGCAAACATTTATTTTTAGAAACATTTTTGGTATGGTACTGAACAAAAGGCTATTGTGTATTAAACATAGTAAGGTCTCTCTGGTCCCATCTATACCAACTTTACAAACATCAGGTTGGAATTAAATGATTTTAAACTTTAAATCAACAATTTCCAGACCACAAAACCTATTCCATACTTATCAGTACATATTAAGTTCTTTAAGTGAGTTATAGCTGAGTTAGAATGTGAAATCTGCATTTTCAGGTGCCAATAAAAGAACGTTCTTTTAGACTTTGGATACATAATGCCGAATTGTTCAAGAATGCCATATAATGTTTTCATTTCCTTTTCTAACAAAAATTTTTTCATCTGCACTTGATAAATTTCCTGACTATATCATTCCTAATGAAAAACATATGGGTATCAATCATATTACTCTACTATTTTCTTATTAAATAGGAATTCTGACTTTTTCTCTAAGTTAACAAAGTAAAAAAGATAGTTCAGAACCACTATGAACATCTCTGTCTTAATTTATGGTATGTGTTCTGCAATAGACCTTCTAAAATGCAAAAGGAGATAAAAAATTATCTATGATTAGTAGTGTGGTGGTTTTAAAACATGTCCACAAATTCTTGGACATGTTTAACATCAAAAGGTAGAGTTAGTTCCCTCCCTTTGAATATGGGCCAGTCTCAGTGACTCACTTCTAATAAACAGAATGTGGCAGAAGTATAGCTGAAGGCTGTGAAGGCTAGGTCATAAAAGGTGACATAGCTTCCTCCTGGCTCCCCTGATTGGATGTTCACCCATAAAACCCAGTCACCATGCTGTAACAAAGCCAAGCAGCCATATGGAAAGGCCTCAATTCCACTCCCAACCAAGGTCCCTGCCAAAACCCAGCATCAATTGCAGACTTTGAGTGAAAGACTCTTCATAAGATTCTAACCTTCAGAAGCTTTGAGCTATCTCAAGAGATACCTTTGGAATAAAGTCAAGCTGTCCCTACCAAACTTCAAATTGCAGATGTATGAAAAATAAAAATCATCTTTATTTTAAGCCACTAGATTTTTATTATGCAGCAAAAGTAACTGGAACATGTAGATTATTCTGGCCAAAGTCTACCATCTTATCCTTTCCATTTCAAATTTACCTGAGAAGATAAACCCTTCTGAAACAAACAAACTATGCTGACAGATGGGGTCTCAGTTAACTCACCCTAGCAACCTGCTGGCTTGAATCCCAGCATTCATTACCCTTGACTGCCAGATAGCCTTCTCTTGTGCTCTTTACTTCTCACCTCTTAACACCATACTCCACAGCCTCCTCTTTTATCCTGTCCTACTGCTTACTTTGAAAAGCTGCTTTTATTAAACACCCTGGCTTATGAAACTGTTGCTACTGCTAACATATATTCTACATGTTTAATCAATGAACAAGTGAAATCTGCCTGAAAAAGTTATTCTATGAATCTAAGACTGGAAACTAATTCACGATGTTTTGATGGAGCCATTCAAATGGGTTATGAGTCCAATCAAATAGCTATATCAAAATATTTGTTCCTCCTTCAAAGAACACCAGAAGAGGAAATATCCTAATTACTGAAATAATTTAAGAAACACAACCCTGAAAAGTTAAATGTTCAGAAGGAACCTTGGAGATAGTATAGTTTAGCATTTGTTTTTAGCCATTGAGATACTGACATAACCCAGGGAAGGTTTTTATGATGTAAATACTAAGAATTTTTATCTTATTCCATTCTCACTGGGATGTCAACCTGCCATAATATAATGGAAATTTTAAAGTTCAATTTTGTTAGTATTTCATAAAGTTCTGTTAGTATTTTATAGCTTTGGCAATAAAATATGTTCCATGCAATCTTATTTAATGTTTTGTCCTTAAAGTTTAGGATAAATGACATAACAGTTATGATAAATATAATAAACGTATCCCTAGGAATCCATACATACTATTCTTAGAAAAAAAATTTAATGTGGCTATTTTACTTCTACCATAAGAAATGTTAGCAGCCATTGCCTTTGTCTGAATCATCTGGGAAAACTGATGCGAATGACACCCAGCAAGTTTGCACAATTGGTCTGAGGTCATATAACCAGTTCATTGCAAAACTATGACCAGAAGTTTGGTACACTCATACTTTCTATCTAGATACATAGGAGGCTCACTAAGGACTGGATCAGTAGAAGGAAAATAATTACCGTATGTCTCAATTCAAAAGGAAAGTCAAAGCCGCTAGCTGGGTTTTAACTCCTTCAATGTGACACTCACAGTCCTTCTATTGGACTATCTTTCTTATTAATGTAAAGAAACAAAATAATGGAAGGGCCTAAGGTGACCATGGGGGGAATGTGGCTGACAGTGTGGACTGGCTATCTGAAAGCCATCTACAACCCCAACATTCCTTATATTAACTACAAAGGGTATAAGGGTCAAACGCTCAATCTTGGCCCTCCCTTACAGTTATTAGAGGTGGCAATATGCAAAATTACAAAAATGAGAATATATATAGAAGTCCTATAGAGGGTATTTCTTCTCAAATAAAAACATTAATCCTGTGGAAGGGTCTAGACCCTTGTGCCCTCTTCTCCTGAAGAGTATGGATATGACTGTTGGAGACACAAGACCCATCTTGTTTCCATGGGTATAAAAGCCATGTGCTGAGGTTTGTAACAGGAAGAGAGAAGGAACCTGGCTCTCCAATTACACAGGTCAGCCATCACAGGGCCCTGGACTGTCTATCCTTGGGCTTCCTATTGAGTGAATTTTAAGACTATACATTCATTTTGTAGTTACCTGTAGCTAAATACAATCCCAAGTCTTACAGGATAAAACCTAGCTTTTCGTTCTCAACCCGCTTTGTTCCCAAGTGGTTTGCCCATCTGGCTTAGTCTTATACTGATGAATTTGGGAAACAAATGTTTAGGCACCTTCAACTTCACCTTAGCTCATGCCACAACCCCATAGTTTCTTAAAAGATAAATAAGAGAGTGAGGTATATAACTATTGTCTCTAAGAAGAAATGAACAAGATGGTAGTGGGTCTCTCTGTAGCAGATGGCAGAGCCAATGCTGCCTGGAGTGATGACAGAGAAATGGTTTCTATCCCTGTAGTGGAACACTTAACCTCAATCCTGGACAGTATCTAGATAACCAAAAACCAGAAAGAAAAAAAACTATGCCACATTCCTAACCTCAACTTGGGAAAAAAACATAAATCCAGTGCCTTAATTAGAGGAGATACAACAAAAATTATCCACTTGACAGAGTTTCTTTTATTTCACTTGAGCATCATGTTGGAGATTCTCCATGTCATGTTCCATGTAAGTCAGAAACAAAGGGTACTGAGACTAAGCAATACAATAATTCTCAGGAAGGCTTGTGAATAGAATCAGGGTGCTTTCTATTCTTCTTTCACTGTTCCTTCTGATAAAGTTGATTGTGCCAAATCATAGTTTTACCACTTGTAAAGTTCAGTGGTATTTTCCCAAGAGGCAGAAAAGAATAGGTAACATTGAGAAGCTGGGAATTTTACTAGTTGCATGCCAAAAAATTAATTTAAAAATAAAGAAAAGAATGTTTCTCTACAGGGGAGTGAAAAAATGCTTGGCAAATTTCTTGGATTAAGGTTCACAAAATCCAGACAAACCAGCAGCCATTCTGGACCAATAGCCTAGACCTTCACTCTACAAATTAAAAGAGAATTAGTAATCCAATCCATACCTCTATAGCTGAGGGTGACCATAAGGGTTCAGAATATAAAAGTACAATAAGATACAGCATTCCATAGAACTCCCGGGGTCCAATGATGATCCAAGAGGAATCTCTTAATCCGAGGCTTTAGAGTTGTGCTACATAGAAAATTCTACATAGGAAGGACTTAAGTCAAGCAAGCAATAAACATAAAGGAAATAAGGAATGATATTTATCGAAAAAATTGATACCTACTAACTACTATAAATAAAGCAATCTATACTCAAGGAGGATTAAAAAAAAAACACTGGGCAAAAAGCAATGAGTTTAAATAGACCTTTACATCAGAACAGTTTTCAAAATTTTGAAATCAAACCTGTAGAACCAGAACTGTTTTAGTTATTTAGACTGACTTTATTGAGTAGAAATTCTCCCTCTTGCACCCAAATAAATGGAACCCTAGCTTAGGATACAGACTATTACATGTCTGTTATAGCAAGCAACTGATTCACATGCTGGTTACTCAAATAATATTGTGCATGTTTGTTATAGCAAGCCACTGATTCATAGGCTGGTTATTCAAATGACACTAAGTTAAAGACACCAGAAAAAAAATTACCAAACTAAAAAAAAAAAAATCAGTTATTTCCTTCAAAAATTTCCCTAAATATTTAGTGACATGTTAAATAATTTCTCAAAAAGGCGTACATATAAAACAGTTTCCCCCTACCTAGCACATTTCCTGGAGGTACCTCCTCTAGATCTTCCAGTTCCCTGCCCATCAGAAGATACAGGTTTTCCAGTGTACAGCATGCCATGTGAGGGACTGGGGGGAGGTCATCTGGTGGGGCTGAGAAGCCTAATGGTACCTAGGTAAAATTTTAAAAAAAAATGATCAAAGGTAAGTTAGGAGGCATATGAAAGAATTAACTGGCATCTGTAATTCTTTCTATTCATCAATAAGATATGGTATAGCCACCACAATCACCTTTCATGTAAACCAAAAACATGCAAATTTGAAATTATATGATAAGAAATGTCTCACTTCATTGCATAAAATTTGAAATACTAAAACTTCTCCAATATTAAAAAACTTCCCAGATTCCCACTTGATTATAGGCTTCAAGGCTAAGAACATAAATTCTGTTGTAACTGGTAGCACATTCTTGCTGCTGGTATTGTGTCGAACCATGCCATGCACTGGTGGTGGTGACTACTATTGTTTCAACACTCATTATTACTACAATAATTTAAATTATTTTAATCTTATGATAATGTTCTTCAAGTATTCAACAAGGGCTGGGGCTAGTGCCTAGTAACACATGAAAATAACTAATAAAAGTATCACAGAAAATCTAAACAATTGCCATATCATATGCTATGTTGTTAATCTTGAAGAGAGCATGCTGTGAAATATTAGGAACACTGATGAAAAGACATAGCACACACACACAGCAAAATTATGCTGCAAGAATAACAGATTTATGAGCTCTCCTATATTATGTTTATTCTGAAAGAGAAACTATTTTAAATGATTCAAGGTTTGAGTTGTGTGAAGTCTTCAGAGATACATCCTCCACATGAATGAAAGCACCTTGGAAGTTTTTAAATCAAAACCCAACACATCTTTGGTATTCACAGGCCCAAGGTTCTCTGCTAGTTATAAGAAGTGGGAAAAAAGTCTCAGATAGAACATATACAAAGGTAACTAACATTACAAGCTTAGAGTGACAAAAAAACGTAGTACACAAAAATAAGTTCATAAAGGCTTAGAGCAAGGATAGTCTCATGCATTCAGGAAGACCTGGAAACTTCATGAAAATGATGTCTTTTCCAACATACGCTACACCTAAATGTGCAAGTTCTGATACAATCACAACTCAGGTTGGAAAGAAAAAAATACAAAGATTGATAGAAAGCAAGAAAATTATCCACAATTTGTCCATACACTTAAAAACAGATAAATTATAATTAATAAGACAGCACAGAGGCAGAGGTATAAGATCAATAAACAGAAGTTAATAGTATTTCCACAGACTGACAGTAGACAGAATATTATACATATTTTAAAACCGTTAACTTACAGAATAGCAAGAAAATATAAGATAGTTACAAATAAATCTAACAAAGTGACTGAAAATCATGATGAAGAAAACTATAAAACTTGAATAAGAAACATTAAAAATGACCTAAATAAACAGATAAGCCTAACATATATGGATGACAAGATGTTACATTACAAATCAATGATTCATGCCAAATGAATTCACAGTAATTCCAATCAAGTTTCAACAGAGCTTTTCATGGAACTTGAAAGCTCACTATAAACTTCATACAGAGGAGAGGAGAAGAATAAAGAAGATACCCATACACACACACACACACAAAAAAAAAAAAAAAAACAACAAGGAGAGAGACTTGGCCTTTTAGATGTCACAACATTTAGGAATAAGGAGAGCACTGAAGAGACACAGTTAGAAAAAAATAAAAATTTTTGAAAAGCAAGCAAAAAACCTAATAGTTCAGAAAAAAGACCCATGTATGTGTGAAATTCGATTTATGAATAGTTGAACAAAGCAAATCAGTGACAGAAATGGTCTATTCAATGATGCTGGAACAACTGGTCGTTTGGTAAACAAAGGAAATTGGATCCCTTCATACTGTAAACAAACACTGGATTCAACATTTAAATATGAAAAGCAAAACATTAAATTTTAGAAGGAAATACAGGAGAAAGTTTTGTGGCTTCAATATGGTTCCAATTCCAATTTTATTACACAAGCCACAAAATCAAAACTCATGAAGGTAGTGACTAATAAATCCAACTATATTGAAATTAAGAGTTTCTGTCCGTCAAAGGATAACAAACAGAAAGAAAAGACAGGTCCCAAACTGGAGAAGAAATCTGCAAAACTTAAACTGACAAGAAATTACTATTTAGAATACACAAAAGACTTCTAAAACCCAGTGTTTTCTCAAAAGCTGCACAGTAGAAAACAGGGAAATGACACTGAGAAAATATGAATGACCAACAGATGTAATTAATCATAATAAGGAAAATGTAAATTAAATCTACTATAAAACACCAGATCATGGCCATCAGATTGGCAAAAATTAGAAGCCTAACAATATCAAATTTTGGTGAGGATTTGAACAAGTAGAACATTGAGCCATGCCAGGACACCACTCCATGACTATGTAACTCCTGTTGGGAGTATAAATCAGAACTATTTTGAAAGCCAATTTAATCCAGGTACAGTGATACACACCTGTAATCCCTGTGACTGGGGAGGCTGAGGCTCTAAGCTACTTAGCATGACCCTGTCTCAAAATTAAAAATAAAAAGGGATGGGGATGTTGCTCAGTGGTTAAGCACCTCTGGGTTCAATCCCCGGCACCGCCCCCCCACATCCCCCAAAAAAGGAGAGACAATTTTAAAATTATCTTGTTAGGTCAAAGAATATCTAAGCAATTCCGCTACAGATGTATTCCCTAGAATTGCTTGCAAATATACATAAGAAGGTATGTTTAAAAATATTCAAAGTATCATTTGTTTACCAAAACCAAAACAAAAACAGCTTAAGCCCAAATATATAGTGATAGGAAAATGGATAAACAAAATATGTACTTATATGATGGAATATTATGTAGCAGTGAACAATAAATGAACTATAAGAACAGGCATTAAAGGAGTAATTTCTCAATTAAGTTAAAAAAACAAGTCATAGAAGCAAAACTACATTAAGAAAACATTTGTACAAAGTTCAGAAACATGTGACTATAACAATGTATTATTTAGAAATGCATATGTAGGTTGTAAACCATAAAGAAAAGAAAATCAAGAGAACGATGTGGCCAGCAGACTAAAGGTGCCCCCACACACACAGTTCTTGCTTCCTGGTGTTAATGTCTTTGTGTAATCTCCTCCCCAAGTGTGAGTGGGATTTGTGAGACTTGCCTTTAACTAATGGAACGTTCCAAAGGAGACAGGACACCACTCCATGCTATGTAACATCATACAAGACTGTCTTGCTAGCAGACTCATTCCAGAGACTCAATGGCTTGTTCAAATAAGCCTCCAAGTTGGAAAAGTCTCTAAGGCAAGAAGCTGAAGGTGGCCTCTAGGCAGTCAATAGTTAGTAAAAACCCCAAGGCCTTCATTGCCTGCAGTGTAGATATGAGTTTTGCCAACATTCTACGGGTTCCAGGAAACAGATCCTTCCCCAGTCAATCCTATAACCTGGTCAACACCCTGACTACAGATTTTTGGGATAAATAAAAAGGGATGGGGATGTTGCTCAGTGGTTAAGCACCTCTGGGTTCAGAGAAAAGACAGCTGAGCCATGCCTAGACTCCTATCATGAACTCTGAGATGTTAAAATGTGTAGAGTAGCAAGCTGCTAAATTTGTTGTAATCTATAATATGCAGCAGCAGACGAACAGTACTAAAATTCTGGGGAGCACTTACTTCTGGGCTAGATCTGACATATTTTGCTTGTTTTTCTTTCTTTTTGTTTTAAATATTTATTTTTTAGTTGTAGTTGGACACAATACCTTTATTTATTTATTTTTATTTGGTGCTGAGGATCAAACTCAGGGCCTCGAAAATGCTAGGCAAGCGCTCTACTGCTAAGCCACAACCCCAGTGCTGTTTTTCTTTTTTAAGGTACACTGGAATTAGGTTTTATGTGGCTTTGTTTATAAATAAGGAGCCATTTGTGCTATGAATTCATTTTATCATTCCTACCTGAGTCATTTGATATACAAGGAGCTGATTTCAACCTCTAGCCACACAAGAGCAGAGACACGCCATGCACAGAAAGTAAACTGGTGTGCTCATGAAATCTGTAATGCCCAATAAATCAGTATTCCACTTAATACTTCTTACTTAACTGGACAATTTAGAGAGTAAAGAAAGAAATTGTCAGATGGTGACCCCTATTGATAAACAACAAATGATCAATTATATCCAAGCCAAGATGTTACAATAATCATAAATAGGTTTTCTACATAAAATATAACCCTATAAAATATAACCCTTTAGATACCAAGTGATGTACTCCATTTGCAGCCCAGCCAAGAATGCTTAACCTCCACACCACATTGTGATCTCTTAAGGACTAAACTGCTAAAACTGATAGAGTAAGGATTTAAGGCAAGAAAAACTAAGGGCAGAGACTTTTCTTCCACAGCTCCCTTCCACTCTGGCTTTCACCTTTCCTGGCTTACCTATAGACAGTCTGCTTCCTGCACAGAGAGAAGCTCATGCTTTCTGTTTCTGATGTTTTATGTTATTAACTGACAGACAAGCTGCTTCCTGCTGATCCTGATCCTGACTGGCTACCTGTTCTTTCAATATCTTAGTCATCCTATGACCTTTACTGCTTCATTTTAATGTATGTATCTTAATTTCAAAAATGTTCTGAAACAGTTCTAGTCTGTGGTCTCTTTCACTCTCTGGTTAAGGCATTTTTAGATGCCAGCTGTCTAACAGCTTACAGACACTTATACTGGATTTCTGGGACCCACCTACTATTACCTGCTCACTCTCAATACCTTTGAACTAAGCCAACCTGTTTTTGGGGTCTCCACATTTCTTGAAGCTCAGCTCTTGACTCCAGCATGACATGTACTCTTACCCATTCAGTCCCTAGCCACAAGATGATATTTGCCTTGAAAAGAAAAGCTTTATAATTCAATAAAGCCCAAAAATTGGATCACATACTGGTGTGGTTTCCTAAATGTTAGGAAATGAGACATAAATAACAGATGTTACCAACGCAACAGAAGAAGAGATACAGAATTTACTCAGGTATGCCTTTCTTTTAAGGTATCCAAAGAGGTATCAGACCCTTGAAATAATATACTGATATTTTATTTCCAATTCTTACCCTTTGCAAAAACTCAATAGGACTGTACTTGGGCCCCAAGACAAAAATTTTCTCTCCTCTTCGAGCTACACCGCTGAATACACGAGCAAATGCAATAAAAGACTCTTGGTTGCTTCCTTCCTGGGGCACAGGATTAGTGGCCATACTCTCCACCTGTTGCTCATCACCTGCCAGGAACAAAGGGTAATAAGTGCCAAGAATGCTCTCTTTAATCCAAGATCTGCCTGAAACAAAGGAAACAATAAATATATTTGGTCCAGTTTCAGGAGATAAACATTAAGAATGAAAAGAATATTGATAAAAACTATAATTAAAGCTAAAATCTCAGTACTAAAGGATGAGCATCCTATGTTAAGCAAAACATCAAATACTTAACACTAAAGCCTATTTAGGTAAGCTATACCTCTTGGCTCTTCTCTTTGTGGGCTTGTTTCCAGGGCACTTGCATCTTGGGTGGGCTCCAAAGGTGCCTGCCCTTGTGCTGCAGCGAGCTTCTCTGCATGCCTCTGTCTTGCACGTTCACGTCTTTGAGCAATTTCTTCTTGAGTGAGAGGTCTACAGGACATCACAAATAGGTTATCATCTGGCAACATCAAGCACCTCTTGGTTCATTCAAGAAGGAAAACAGCAAGTACAGACAGGGCTAAATCAAATGATTAGTCTCAAGTGCCTTTCAGGCTAAAGACCTCTCCGAGTTCTCCTATAGCTCGAGCAACAGGAAGAAAGTGCCCACCAGTCTCTCCAACAATGCTGCATCTCCAGCTAATATGAGCTTATGAATTGGAAGGCCAAAGTCCAAGTCCACAAGTGGAGCTAAGCATAGCAACATGGATCCTTTCTCAGATATCAGTATTCCTTCTGGAAGAGGAAAGGAAAGGGAGAAGGAAGGGAACAAGTAAAAGATACCCAGACTTGGAATGCCCCAAAGAGAAACATGCTCAAGGCCTCAGTAAGAAATTGAGGCTTTCTTCCTAAGTACAAACATGTATCTTCATATAGAACTGGAGTTCACAAAGAAGGGTTCCAGGCCAGGCTGCATACTGGCAATTCAGCAGAACTAACAGGTCAAATTCAAATGCTTAGATATTATGTTAGATCCAAGAGATACCAAAACAGAAAAGGCAATGTGCAGGTATAGATATATCTTTTGTTGGGGGTTAGTCTGAAAGGTGTTGTTAATTAAGCTATTTTATCCAAAAAGAATTGTTCTCATGCCTATTAGGACTTAGAGAAAGTGCTTAGAGCTTTAATACCAAAATGCTTTTGCAAAAGGTAAATTTGAAGTTGAATAAAAATGGTCATTCTGTTTGGTAGGTGGTTGTTCCCCAGGATGTGGTTCCCTTCATGTAGCGGTCCTCATGAATCACCTACATGCTCACCCCCAACATAGGAGGAAAGCCAATTCTGCCCTAAAGTTGGTAAAATCTGAACCTCTTTCCCGCTCTTCTTGGGAATGAGCATTGAGATAGCAGGCTAATCCTCTGGTCTCAACTTGATGTTCCACCTCTGAAAGCTGCTCTATTCTGCCTAGTCCCAACACTTTGTGCCTCTGTTCCACATTGTCCCTCACCTTTGACATTATGATTCCAGCTTTACTTCCTGATCTCTGAATTAACACTAGACTGTTAGTCTCATCTCTCCCCTTGACATGCCACCCTCCCCTCCTCTCTCCTTAAGCACTGTGAAACCACAGGACAGGCATTCAGCATGGGTACTTCCCATCTGTCTTCTAACTGGCCACATACTCTTGGAGCTTCTTGTCAAATGTCCTAAAACCTCTTCCACCTTTTTACTTCACATGGGGTAAGTAGGAATGACTGCTTAAATCACTAATGGTCCCCTGCTATCCTCTTCAGATACCTGCAGTTAGGCAGGACTTCCCACTAAGCCTAGACTCTAGTTCTGCCTTTCCTACTAGCTGCCTCTCAGAATGGAAGAGTTTAGTTCTAGGAGTTGGCCCTTCTTGTCAGACCCATTCCATTACAGGGCTGTGCAACAGGATACAAACATGAGAGACTAATCCATGAGGCTGGCCCAGTTGAGATGTTGTACTCAGGCAACCAGAACTGCTGGCACTGGAAAGACTGGCTATCAACACAGGAGAAAAGCCCCTCTTCATGGGAAGCTCTCAGTGTTAGAAGGTCTTTCAAACACAGGATGCATTCTGCTTCCTCAAAATTGCTAGGCATGGATGCTGTTCTGTCCTCTGGAGCAGTTCTCTTTCCCCTTTCCTTGGAATCATCTCGCTCAATCGCTTCCCCTCACCCTTCTCTTCCCCAGGTTAACCCCTTCAGCAATTCCTTCAACCAGGCCTCAGACAACAATCCTTATTTCTAAATTTTTGCTAAATACTCTTAAAAATATCTGGGGAGTGTGAATTAAAACATCCACACATAACACAGTATCATTATTAACAGCATCAGGAGGAAGAGATACCTGAGGCACTTGCTTGCCCTCAGAAGTTTCTTCCAACAGGCTTAACTCGAGTCCAGACATTGTGCTAATCACTTCACATGAGTTACAGCATACAAATATCTCAACAATTAAATGAAGTACACTTTCCATTCCCTTTTACATTAAGAGAAAATGGAGAATTAGAAAATTTAAGCAATATGAGCCAAAGTCAGATATTAAGTGGAGAGGTCTGGATTCTAATCTAGATCTGCTTGGCTCCAAGCCCTATGCCCATTATCATCAACCTCTGTCTTCCATTTAGAAGGAATTAAGATGATAAAAAAATCACCATTTTAATCAAGTGCAATTTTAACTCTGATTCATAAAGAAGCATAATTTTCACCTCATATATTAAATTTTCATCTACCTAATCTCATGACACGATCTGGAATTAATAGGCACTTATGGTCATTAGTTAGCATTAACTGCATAGGTACTTGCTGTCTTCCTATGTAATTATCCATCCATCCAGTTAAAACCTCCCATGTGCCATGCACTATGTATGTACTAGCAGCGGTGGTAGAGGGGAACAAGCAAACAGACAGAAGTCAATGAGGATTTATAAAAAGTGTCCTCTGTACATCTAGTATTTGTTAAAACAAAGAGGAACTTATTTCTAAGAAAACAGGGCTCTATTGATAAGGAAATAGCTCCAAGTGATGGGTTATTCGGGCAGGTTATTTGGGTGGGTTTAAGGAACTAGAAATGAAGAATACCAAAGGTGAGAATATTGACTGGAAATTCAAATGTTAGGTTGGGAGGTGAATATGGAGGTGAAAGGAAAAGAAGGAAGAACACAAAACTATTGAACTTCAGAATTCCCTAACAGTGATCATGCTCTGGCCTCTATGGTAATGATAAACAGGACAATGTCAGAGAAAGAGTTGGTAGAGGGGTTGGTAGAAGTCAATACCAAAAGTCACCATCTTACCAGGTAGCTGACATGATGGGGATCAGGTGACAAAAAAGAAAAGTGACATCTGTTTGAAGATGCTATAAAGGGATAGATAGGTGAGGATGGTGGGATTACAAGGTTAAGAGAATAATTCTCTAAAATGAGTCCCTGCCTGCCACAGGCTTTCTTTGCCAAAAGCAATCTGCCTGTAGCCCTGCCTGTCCTCAGCAAACTGAGGCAGGGGGCTAAGGTCTGGCAGTCAGTATAGTTAATGAATAATAGGAGGTAGAAAGAACAGGGCTGGTTATCAAAAAAAAATGATAATGCCTTGTTAACAGCTAACCTCTGGGATGCACAACCCACCTATACCCACCCACCCACCCACACACCTACTTTGAGTTGCTAATCATTACCCCCCAAAGCTCCTGTTCCTTCCTGCAAAGAGAAAGTGGAGAGTTCTGGGGTCTATAAAAGAGCAAGACACACCCATTCTATGGCTCTGGGCCCTCTTCAAAAGTCAGCTGTCCCTGTCTCTTTCTTGATAAAACTTGCTTTCCTTGTAATCCCAGCAGCTCTGGAGGCTGAGGCAGGAGGATCTGGAGTTCAAAGCCAGCCTCAGGAAAAGTGAGGTGCTAAGCAACTCAGTGAGACCCTGTATCTAAATAAAATGCAAACTAGGGCAGGGGAAGTGGCTCGGTGGCCAAGTACCCATGAGTTCAATCGCCAGTACACCACCTCCCACCAAAAAACCAAAAACAACAACAACAACAAAAAAAAACTTGCTTTCTACACTTGCCTCAGCATTTCTCAGGTGTTTAATATTCAACACCAGGGGAACAAGGACCCGTTCCTGATCTCCAAGAACAGTATCAATAGCACCTTGTTACTAGAGGTTGATTCCCAAAAAGAAAGAAAAAGTAACACATAGGATGACAGGGGAATAGGGACTATCTGGAAAACTCCCAACCAGAATGTCACTTAATAGGTACTTATCACCTTATGAGAATTCTGTAAGAATTTCATTTAAACTACACTTCAGAATAGCAAAAGCAGACTTAGGGGTGGAAAACTGAAAAGCCATAGATATGACTGGGGGCAGATTCTCCACAATAAAGTGAATGACCACAGGTCTTAAAGCTAAATACATCTAGATTCAAACACATCTTTAGCTTCCTTGCAGCTATGTGACCTGGAGCACATTACCCGTTTTTCTTAAGGATCCTTATTTTCCTCACAAGTCAAACTGAAACACCAAATTCTTCTTCCATTGAAGAATTGTTAGATGTAAATACCATAATTAATGGCATCATGGGAATACTATAATGCTTTCATAAGCTGCAGCCAATTATTAGTGTTATTATCACCACTAGTTACAAGATTGGAGGGTGGGTAAGACTTGGGATGCTGTTGAGTGCTAGGATCTTCTCAAGAAGTGATATTTACAATCTTTCATGTTTTTCCATTACTTGAATCATTCCCACACAATCCCAGGGTAGATGTGGACAGTACAGAAGAGGCACTTCCTAGAACCATATAAATGAGTGTCTTCATTTCAGAGACCAAAATTCTGCCTATAAGTTATATGAACCAATAGTAAAATACTGCTTTATCAGGGGCAGGTTCTGTTTCCAGCAATGCCTGACCTCCGGCTTCTGCCCAGTGCTCCCACTGAAAACAACTAGGCAAGATGCATACATTAACAGAAAAAAAAAAAATGAAGAGGACTGACAGTATCAAAGAGTGAACAAAGCACTGAGGATTTCAGGATTTCAAAAGAGGAAGCAAAGACTAAAGAGCTCCCTCCTTGCTGCTGCTTTTCTGCTGAGAGGAATTTGGCACATCTGAAGAGCAAAGAATCTGAAGAGAAATACTGAAGGCTTTCTTTGAAAGACTGGAAAGGACATAAGAATGCCTGCTATCACCACTTCTAAATGATGCATTGGAGGTCCCAGCCAGTGAAAAAAGAAACAAAATTGTCATCACTTGTGGTTAAAATGATTACATGTGGAAAAATTCAAAGAATGTAAATAAAATATAGGAATAAATGAATAAGAGAATAACTGAATATAAGATCAATGTACAGAAAACATCTATAACCTACATATAAAAAACCAGACCAACAGAAAATGAAAGTTCACAAAAAGAAAATACATTTTTAATTATATTAAAAACCATCTAACCAGGTATACTGGTGCATGCCCAAATCCCAGCAACTCAGGAAGCTAAGACAGGAGGATCACAAGCCTCTGCAATTTAGTAAAAGTTGTCTGTCTCAAAATAAAAAATAAAAAGGACCAGGGATGCAGGTCAGTGGTGAGAGTGCCCCAGGGTTCAATACCCAGCAGCCCCCCAAAAATCTAATATCTAACAATACTTATAGATATGATACTAGCTAAAAATCTATAAAGTAATTAAAGAAGATCTATATAAATGGAGAATATACCTCATCCACCGGCTGAAATTTTCAGTGGTAAAAATATATCAATTTTTTAGAGGTCTAATTAATGGCAATCCCTTTCAAAATCCCAACATGGGCACATGAGATTGACAAGTGATGCCCAAATTTACCTAGAAATGCTAAAAGCCAAGAATAACCAATGATCATGAGGATATAGTAATTAACATAATAGCAATTTAAGAAAGTAAGCAAGTAACTAAATTAAGAAGATGAAACTATAATAATTAAAATAGTGTGGTCTTGGCTTCCGAGACAGACCAGTAGAACAGAAGAGAAATATCTTAAAACAATCCCACACATATATAGATACTTACAACAAAAGTGACACAGGTAAGGAGTGAGTGAAGGACAGTCTTCCATCAAATCAGGGACATCAAATTGGGGAAAAATCTTTAAATCTTTGTAGGTACCACATCACCCTATCTCTTGCTTCACTTTCAGTGCATTTCACCACTGAACATATTCTAATCTACACTAAAGGAAAATAATATTCTGGTGCCCCTGACTTAGTACATATAATTTAATAGAAATGGAAATGGTATATGTCCCCACATTTTAAAAGTAGTAATATTACATGAAAAAAAAGAACCTAGAAGAAAGAACAAATCAAAATAATGATGATGACCTTACTCAGTTATGTTACTGTATTATTATACAAAACAATTATTAAAATTGGTGTTGGTCAAGTAATAAATGAAAAAAATAAAATCAGTAAAACAACCTTATAGAACATAATTAACAGCGCTAGCAAAAATATCCTAAAATCTGGAAAACAAGAGTTTTGAAGAAAAATATTCACAGAAAATGTAATTACTAGTAGGAGCAAAATAGTACTATTATTCTTTAGGAAGAAAACAAAAGGCAAGTACATATAGGAATTTTAAGTGATACAAATACATGTATTTAAGTCTCAAGAGTACATTTTCCAATTCTCCAGTATTCCCTAGGAGTCTATTAGAATCTCTGAGATACTTCCAATGGCCAAAAAACCCTTATCTCGTAGGATATCAAAAAATTTCTGTCGTAGATGGCACTGAAATATAGTATCTCAGAATAGCCTAGATACAAAATTATACATTCACTCATTCATTCAACTATTTACTTATTCATTTAGCAATTCACTTGCTTTTCCATTCACTGACCTACTTGTTTCTTCATTCCGATACTCATTCATTCATTCTTCATTTACTCATTTATCTATTCCTTCACTTATTCTCAGGACAAAAATTACTAAAGCTTCCTCTTTCCAATACTACAGAAGTACTAGAAAATAAACCACCCTTCTTTCTCTTGAAGGATAAGCAGAATTTTACCAAAAGAAAAGGGGCCTTCCAAGATGGAGGTATCACATAAGCAAAGACACAGAATTTTTTCAGGGAATACCATATAATACTAGAGACATAAAAATGAAAATCTAGTTATAATGGGTTGGGATCAAGTTGTGATAGGTCAAATTTATTTTATAGGCTGGTGATCCTGAAACTTCAGATGTTCACTAACTACCTTCATGACTTCTGCTCTATCTACCTGTTGTTTACTTCTTATTTCATTTTTTTTAAAAGAGAGAGAGAGAGAAAGAGAAAATATTTTAATATTTATTTTTTAATTTTCGGCAGACACAACATCTTTGTTTGTATGTGGTGCTGAGGATCGAATCCAGGCCGTACGCATGCCAGGTGAGCGCGCTACCGCTTGAGCCACATCCCCAGCCCCTTCATTTTATTTAAATAGGCAAGGTTAACATTTACTTCATTAAGATTTACTTCATAAAATCTTAAAATCTCATTTTATAAAAAGAAAAGGTAGATCACTTGACATAAATAAGCAACAAACACAAATACATATTAAATACATAAGACACAAATACATATTAAAATACATTATTAAATAAAAACTTGTTTTCCTAAGTGCCACTGAAATCATCACCAATCATATACTTTTAGGCAAACCTACTCAAGGCAATGAGAATCACTAACCATTCTTAGGCAGCAGATCTAAATCTTCATGGCTGAGTCTTAGATATCTCTTTCTAAAGTAATTGTGACAAATGGATTGGTAGAACTCAAGACTGGGGCAGAGGAACCTGCTTGGAGAACACTACCAATAGTTTCCATGAGATATAATCAGGGTCTAACTAGAGGGGCAGGCAAAAGAGATGGGAAGGAGGGGAATACACGCAGAAAACAGATGAGGTAGAAGGGACAGAGTCACCAACTCTGGAAATCCATCTCCATATCTGCCACCTCTGCACACATACAACATTACAAAAATGATCACACATTTGGTCTCCATCGAGGCAGAAAGAATTAGACAGACAGGCTTAGATTATATCTTCTCTGACATACTCAATGAAAGTTAACTATGGTCACTATTACTATTACTACCCTACACATTCACATCAGATAAAATCAATACCCCAAATCTGATTTTGACAGCTTTCTCTTACAGAGATACCCCAGAAGTATACATGACTACACAAACTCTATAATACCCTAGTACTGACTCAATTTCATTGCTGAGATGGAAAGGAAAGACATTATCTGTGCCTTCCCATTACACCCCAACAATACCCCCCCAGATATAAAACTTTTCCCAGCCCATACCCCATTATTCTTACCTTGGCTTATTCTGAGGCAAGGCCTTGGCATCAACTGCAAACATTTTGGAAACAAAGATAATAACTGGAGCAGTGTCCTCACTTCCACATTTCATAAAAGCTAAACAAACAGGAAGCAAAAATGTCACTATTTTTCCCATTATTTTTTAAAAAAAGATTTTTCTAGAAAGCAGATTTTAAAATATAGCTTCATCTAAATACGTAACTTTTAACAACTATGGTAACTATTCTTTTTAGAAAGACTGCTAGGAAAGAATAGGAGAGAAAGAGCAACAGAATTGGTAGAGATGAAGAAACAGAAGCAAAACTGACAAAGTGGGAGTCGGGGAAGGCTCTCACATCAGCATTAAAGCTATGGAGTCAGGTTGAAGACCACTGTAAACCACAACTAATGTTCCCCTGTAGTCAGTAAAGAAGGGATAGAATTAAGAAATATTACCAAAGGTCAAGAGTCAATAAGATGGTTTGTTAAAATAAATAAAAATGAATAGCTTTTCTAGTCCCTCACAATAACAAGTTAAAAAAATAAAACGGACAAAAATAATGTATCATGGTAATAACAAAAACACTTAGAAATAAATTAAGTTTCAATACTATATAGATGTGAATTCTTTTTAAATACATTAATGCAAATTTCATATCAACTTAGTGACATTTATTTACCTATATTGAGGCACAAAACCGTTAGTAACTAAAAAAAAAAACCATCCTCCTATTAATGTAATTTGTACACAAAGAATTCAATAGAAAAAAATAAAAAAAAAATTATAGGAAGTAAAAATTAAACACATATCACAAGTCTTGCTAGCAAAATCTTTGAAAGATTTAAAGGTACAGAGTGACATGATAACCTACATGTTAATAGGATCACTCTGACTACAGTAGAGAAAAAACTAAAGGGAATCAAGGGAAGAAGCAGGGATATTACTAAGAATGCTAATACAATAACCAAGTGAGAGAGGATAGTTACTTTGCCCAGACAGAGAGAAGTGAGAATAGTGGGAAGTAGTCAGATTCTGGATATATTTCAAAGGAAGAATTGACAGGATTTGCTGATAGACTAGATGCAGGGGTGTGAGATAAAACATGTAAGAGTCACAGATGACTCTAAAGGTTTTTGGACTGAGAAAATGAAACGATGGTGGCACCTCCAAATGAGATGAGCAGCAAGTTTGGGGATGAGATAAAAGACAAGTTTGGAATATGTTAAGTTTGAGATGCTTTGTATAACAGGTGAGTAGAGAGAGGGAGTATGCTAAATGCATATATGAGTCTAGAGTTCGGATAAGAGATGTGCATGTAGATACAGAAGTGGGAAACCATTTTCCCTTAAAGCCTTGAGACTGGATGGGATCACCAAGAGAGGGATTGCAGATGAAATAGATGAGGTAATAAGACTGATTCTTGCTTGGGACACTCCACAGTTAAAAAGTCAGGGAAATGGAGAGGAACCAGAAAAAGTGATTAAGATTGAACCAGATAAGAGATTAAGGGAGACAAGGAAATCAAGTAGAAGCATGTGGAAGCTTAGAAGTCCAAGGAAGAAAGAGTTCCAAGGAGGAAGGAGTGATCAACTGTGCTAAAACGTTAGTGACAGATCTAGTCAGATAAAGACTGTGAACTGGACATTAGATTTAACAAAGTGAGCTGGGTCTGTGGTACATGCCTGTAATCCCAGCTACTAAAGAGGCTAAGGCAGGAGGATAAAAACATTTGAGAACAGATTGAGCAAATAAGTAAGACTCAGATTCAAACTGAAAAAATAAAAAGAGCCAAGGAAGCAACTCAGTGGTAGAGCACCCCTGGGTTCAAGCCACAATACAAAAAAAAAAAAAAAAAAAAAGACTTAAAGTATGAATCAATAGTGACCCCAAGAACAGTAGAACACTGTTGGCCTTTGACTTTTTCTTCTCTATGGCTTTATATTTATGAACATTTTTTTAAGAGGAATGTATTTGATTTTCAATGAGAAAAAAATATGTGAAATCCTGAACTTTACATTTAAATACAAAGCTTCAAGAAAAATACCCATTGAGGCTATATGCCCATAACAGTGCTAAATTACCTCTATTTATAGAGGTGTGGTTTACAGGAACACCAGTCTTTCACCATCTGTACTACGTGTAGCCTCTGCTGTGACTGGAAATACAGTGTGGTTCACACAGTGATGTCTAGAAGAGACATCTCTGAAGACACACAAATACATAATGCAGATGAAATAGTGGAGTGGTTTAGGGGTCCGCAGTTATAATTCAAAAGAATGGGAAGAAAAGAATTGGAATCAGTGAATATATACAAATGAATTTCCCTGTACCTACAGAGCCTAGAAAAGGAACTTATCTTATGGGATGGGTATGTCCAGGGTATCTAATGAAAAGCAGTCTCTGGACTCATTTTGTGTGTAAAGCTGTGGACAGAGCAAACACAGTTATGCCACAGCTTAGGAAACACATTGCTAGGTATTTAAGAAATGGGATCAGGGCAGGAAGAAAGAGGCTCAGAGCCTGGCTGCCCACCAGGGGAGCTAAATGGTTATAGTGCAACTGAAATTTTGGGAGCAGGGAAATAAAACTGGTGAAATGGTCATTTGTAAAACTGTTCATTTATGGAACTGGACATTTAACAAACTGTCCATTTTGTAAACTGCCATTGAGCAAATTGTTCTAGAGCAGCCTGGACTGAGAACAATCAATAACCTGGTATGTTCCAACATGTTCATCTCTGCCTCACCTGCTTTCAGTGCTTGAGTTTCCAGTGGAAGAGAGTCGAACGTTTGCGATCCCGTGCACAGGAGTTTCTCAACTCTCTCAGCGGTAATATCAAGGGGGCTAGGAAGTTTCTGACACACCATAGCTGAAGTCTGTTGTTAAGGACCCAGAAGTGTGAGCCACTGCCACAGCTCAGATTAATTGTATGCACTCACTATCAAAGTAACAATGTATGTCCATACAGAAAATGCCTGGGTTATAAGGCAACACTGATTTATGAATCACATTTTAAAGTATGGTTTCAAGGAGCTCATGAACTTTTTAAAACTCAGACAGGAGTCTCACATCAAATATTCCCTCCAATGGAATAAATGATAATAGAGGCTGATAGATGGGCTAACCTTGACCTTGAAATGAAACAGTAATCTAACATCCACATTATCTATTTATATTTAATCTTAGTGCAAATAATTTTATTTTTACATGCTTACTAAAAATCATTTTAAAAAGGAATACTCAGTATTAACATTAAACAGCATTAGTATGTTAATTTTTAAACTATTAATTACAGTTTCACAATAGACTACTAGATTAGCAAAGACTTGACATTGGATTAAAATTGTTATTTCCCAAGAATTACCTGATTGCAAATAAAAGTTTTCTTTTTCTTGTTTTATCAAAACTATTTCATTAAAAAACCATTAAAATAAAGGATACAAAGAACAGCATGGGAGATAGGTAGCCACTGACTGCAAATGGCATTGATCTGAACTTTAGGATCTGAATGGCGTGCCTCCCGGACTCCAATTTTTAATCCTAAAGAAGTCACTATTTTATCAATTTTTTCTTTGTCCCTATAATAAACATAAGATGGGGAACATATAGATAGTGATGAGTAGTGGGCAAATGAATTTGACATTATTTGATACATTTTTTTCTCATACCACATAACTTTTTCAATAAAAGCTAAAAATGATTGAGGGGATCCTACTCTCAGACTTTCAAATGTACTTTAAAACTTCTCATGAAGCACCATTCTCCGATGTTCTACAACAAACTATGCTAGTTGATAAAACAGTTTTACAAATAAATGCTAACCCCAGAATAACCTAGAAGATAATCAACAAAAGCCAGCTTCCCCCCCGCCCCCGCCCACTTGTACCAGGCAAGTTACTTCCCAAATTCCCCACTGATGATCCTACATATCAAGCATATCAAGTATCTTTTGTACTACAATTACTGTTTTTAAAATCTGTGTTTATGAAAATAAAGGATCAATGCTTATTTTCATCCTTTTATCGCTTCACCTTAGTACTCTATAAAATATTACTGTTCTGCCTTTCCTCCATTATCTTTTACTTTAGCTACATGTGCCCCTTTAATTGTTTCTGAGCTCTGTAATCAACTTGTCTGTAAAGGCTCTGTTCTTCATCTATCTCTAGATTTCCAAAGTGTGACTCATTAAACTGGAAAGTGAGGCAAAATACACTGCTCAAAGATAAACAATTTTACAACAGTCTTACTTTTTCAAGACAGCATCATACAAACTCCATATATTTTCCAGGATCAACTGTACAAATAAAGGTTTCTTTCCTTTTGCCTGTACAAAAGAATATACTGACTTAAGTTCCTGAACATTCACTATGCATTTACATATTTGTTTGCAACATGTTTTAATATCAATGTCTCATTTCTAATAAAAAATATTTTTTAACATTAAAGATGAAAGCAGTTATAAGAGTAACCTAAAGAGTCAATAATACACGATAATAATACACCATTCCCTTTCTCCAGGAATCAGGGACTTTGAAAACAATGTAGTAATTTAGAGATTTATCACTGTTGCTGCCTCACCATTTCCATCAAAGAAACACAAAACATTCAACCTGAGAGCTAAAACTTCACTCTGCATGATCAGAGTCTTTCTAGGGACTCTGATCTGAAGTGTTCTTAAAAAACTATAAACTGTTCTTAAACATACAAAAAAACTTCACAAGGACAGAAAAGTTTTTTAAAACCCTCTAAATCTACTATTTCTCTTACCAAACTACACAAAAAGTGAATAGCCCCAGAGTATCTTGAGACAAATACTCTTACATACATATGACATGGAAATGATACCTCCTTTTCCAAGAGTAACTGGCAATAGTATTAGTTATTGCCTTTCTAAATACCTAGTTTTGATAAGTTATCATGAAGACCTAAACATTTATGCACACATAAAAAAATCTATTATAGCTTTACTTACAATATGAACACATTTGGGGAAAAAAACCTGTCCAATCTTAGGAGAGTGATTACATAAATAATGATGATCTCAAAAAATAAAAATAATAGTGTGCTTATTATGCAAAAAGAACTGTTCTAAAGAGTTTATTTGGGGGCTGGGGATGTGGCTCAAGTGGTAGCGCGCTTGCCTAGCGTGCGTGCAGCCCGAGTTCGATCCTCAGCACCACATACAAAGGAAGATGTTGTGTCCGCCGAGAACTAAGAAAAAATAAATAAATGTTGAAATTCTCTCTCTCTCTCTGTCCCCCTCTCACTCTCTCTTTAAAAAAAAAAAAAAGAGTTTATTTGGATTATTTTACATAATCATCCTAACTACCCTATGAAATAAATGCTATTATCTCAATTTTACAAAAGAAAAAACTCAAGAAAAAGTCACAGAGCCAATAAGGTGAGGGAGCCAATATTCAAACACTGACTTGTCTCTCAAGCCACGTTCTTCTCATGTTACCATACTCATTCCCTTTTAAATACACTGTTAGAAAAAGCTTTCAATGGCAAAAAGAAGATGTTAATGATGTGACATTAAGAAAAAAGGCAGCTACGTTATATTAACAGTATAATCTCAAACAAGGGCTGTATATATGTCTATCAAAAAAGTGAAAGAAATTAAAACTATGTCATAAGTATAGTTGGTCTTTGACTTTTTCTTTTCTATGGCTTTATATTTCTGAACACTTTTAAAGAGGAATGTATTTGATTTTCAATGAGAAAAAAATATGTGAAATTCTGAACTTTACATTAAAATACAAAGCTTCAAGAAAAATACCCATTGAGGCTATATGCCCATAACAGTGCTAAATTACCTCTATTTATAGAGGTGTGGTTTACAGGAACACCCATCTTTCACCATCTGTACTATATGGTAGCCTCTGCTGTGACTGGAAATATAATGTGGATCACATAGTGATGTCTAAAAGAGACATCTCTGAAGATACACAAATACATCATGGAAACTATGTGTTTTTAAGGGCCCAGGATCTGATATTTTTGATAGCCTTTTTTAAAAGAGTAGTTTTTTGCTATCTATTTATTAATTTAGGGAAAACAAAGGATTTGCTAGACCAGGCTGGTCTTGAACTCTTGGGCTCAAGCAATCCTCTTGTCTTAGCCTCCCAATTAGCTGGAAATACTAGCATGCATCACTAGGTCCAGCTTGCTCACTCACCTCACTATATACCAAGGTCTAAGAACTTTATATAAAGTAATACCAGGATATAAGACTCATAAACCCAAATTACGTAGAGTAAAAAGTCCCTCATGAACTCGTCTGCATAAATTAAAGCTAAATTATAATTACTAAGTTATATAATCAACATTCCAAAGGGACAGTATTACCTGATCAACCTTCATTATTTTCTTAGCCTTCATATTTATATAATAATCTCCCCACAAGGTTTTCAAAAGAACTTCCTTTTTGATGCCAATTTTTTTGCTATAGATTTTGGCAAAATGCTCAATTCTGAAAGAAAACCAAGAATTATGTTATTAATAACAAATAAGTAACATTGGTACAGCTAACATGAGTATTTCTGTGTCAGGTACTGTTTAAAGTTCTTTATGTGAATTATTAAATCATTTCAACCTTCCTACAAATTTCTCCCATTTTGTAGAAAAGAATAATGATGCATGAAGATATCACACAGGTAATGAGTGAACTTGGGATTCACACCCAAGTGGTCTGACTCCAAAGCCTATGTTCTGTCCAGCACTCCATACATTAATATGAGTTAAAATTCATGCGATAGTGTCTTAATTTTTCACTGGTAAAATAAGAAAAAAGGAACAAAGGCCAAGGAAATGTAGACTTCAACTGTTTATCACAACTATGTCAACAACAGAAATGTACTTCCGGTCTCCATAGCTATAAATGATGGCTGCTCACAAAGGAAATAAACTCTAGAGATGGAACCTGCCAAAACAAGTTTGTTGGCACCCAGAATTAAATGATAAACATATGTACACTTACTTCACTCTTATCATCCCTTAGAGAAACCACCTAGAACCACAGACTCCATCCTTGGGACAGCAATCAACAAATAAGGGTGATCTTGTATAGTACTGCGCTGTTTGGATAAAGGACCTAGGAGACATCTGTTTTTCAAAAAACAGTATATTTTATCTAAGGTTTGAGTCTAGAACTCTTAAAGTACCAGCATCTTAAAAAATGCCTGCTCAGAAACAAGGCAAGAATACCCTCCCTCACCCCTCCTTTTTACCACTATACTCTAGGCCCAAGCTAATGCAATAAGAAAATACTAATCTGTGAGGTGAACAGAGAGCGTACGTACATCCTGGGAGCAAATTTTTAACTCTCACACATCAGATAGAGCACTAATCTCTAGGATATATAAAGAACTTGAAAAGCTAAGCACCAAAAATCCCCCAAATAACCCAATCAACAAATGGACCTGAACAGACACTCCTCAGAAGAGGATATACAATCAATCAACGAATATTCGAAAAAATGCTCATCATCTCTAGCAATTAGAGAAATGGTAATCAAAACTACTCTAAGATATCATCTCACTCTAGTCAGAATGGCAGCTATTATGAAGACAAACAACAATAAGTGTTGGCCAGGATGTGAGGAAAAATGTACACTCATATATTGCTGGTAGGACTGCAAATTGGTGCAGCCAATATGGAAAGCAGTATGGAGATTCCTTGGAAATCTGGGAATGGAACCACCATTTGACCCAGCTATCCCTCTCCTCGGACTAAACCCAAAGGACTTAAAAACAGCATACTACAGGACACAGCCATATCAATGTTTATAGCAGCACAATTCACAATAGCTAAACTGTGGAGCCAACCTAAATGCCCTTCAATAGATGAATGGATACAAACAATGTGGCATATATACACAATGGAATTTTATCCAGCAATAAAAGAGAATAAAATCATGGCATGTGTAGGTAAATGGATGGCGCTGGAAAAGATAATGCTAAGTGAAGTTAGCCAATCCCCCCAAAAAATGCCAAATGTTTTCTTTGATATAAGGAGGCTGACTCAGTGGGGTAGGGAAGGGGAGCATGGGAGGAATAGATGAAGTCTTAGCAAGGATGATGGAATGTGAAAGACATCATTATCCAAAGTACATGTATGAAGACACGAATTGGGTGTCAAAATACTTTAAATACAAAAAGAGAGATGAAAAATTGTGGTATATATATATATGTAATAAGAATTATAATACATTCCACTGCCATTTATTTATTTATTCAAACCAATTTTAAAAAAGGAGCCAACAACTCAAAAAGAAAGAAAATACTAATTATGAGTAAGGGAATAAAACTATCTTTATTTGCAGATGACATGATCATCTATGTAGAAAACCAAAAGAATCAATAAAACTTCTGTTCTAACTAATAAGCAATTATCGCAAGGTTGTACACAAGGTTAATATAAAAAGTCAATCACTTTCCTACCTACCAGCAATGAATAAATATAATTTGAAATTAAAAACATAATACCTTCTACATGAAATCCCCAAAATAAAACATTAAGGTCTAAATGTAACAATATATGAGAAAAATTACAAAACTCTAATGAAAGAAATCAAAGAATTAAATAAGTAGAGAAATTCCATGTTCATGGATAGAAAAGCTTCAATATTTTAAAATGTCAGTTCCCAAATCAATCTTTACATCCAATGCAATCCCATTCAACAAGTTATTTTGTAAATAACAAACTGATTTTAAAGTATATATGGGAGGCAAAAGATCCAGAATGACCAATGTGACATTGAAGGGAAAAAGTAAAATTGGAGAGACTAACAATACCAAACTTCAAGACTTACTATAAAGCTAAAGTAATCTAGACAGTGTGGTATTAGTGAAAAAGAAGAGAAGAATAGATCAAAGGAACAAAACTGCTCAAAAAACAGACCCACATAAAGAGTCAACTGATCTTTGCAATGGGCAAAGACAATGTAATGAAGAAAAGAGGGTCTCCAACAAATGATGCTGGAACAACTGAACAACAATTTGCAAAAAAAAATAAATAAAAGGAGAGAGGGGGTTAGATACAGGCTATACACTCTTCACAAAATTAACTCAAGACTTAGAAAAATTAAGTTCATAGACTTAGGTTAAAAAAAAAAAACATAAAACTGTAAAACTCCTGGAAGGTGACATAGAGAAAAATTTAGATGATTTTGGAGAACACTATAGGCATAAGCCATGAAAGGAAGAACTGATAACATATACTTCATTAAAATTTAAAACTTCTGGGCTGGGGATGTGGCTCAAGCGGTAGCGCGCTCACCTGGCATGTGTGTGGCCTGGGTTCGATCCTCAGCACCACATATAAACAAAGATGTTGTGTCCGCCAATAACTAAAAAAAAAAATATTAAAATTCTCTCTCTCTCTCTCTTTAAAAAAAATTAAAACTTCTTTTCTATGAAAGGCACTGTTAAGAGATGAGAAGTCAAGTCAGAGTGTGAGAAAACATTTGCAGAACACAGACCTAATAAAGGACTAGTATTCAAAAGAAGCAAAGAGTCTTAACACTTAACAATAAGAAAACATAAACCTTGACTAAAAACAGGCCAAAGATTTTAATAGACACCTAATCAAAGAAAGATGGCAAATATGCACACACCATCAGGGAAATGCCAATCAAAACAATAATGAGCTATACTACACACCTATGAGAATAGCCAGGCACCAAAACAATGATAACACCAAATACTAGCAAAGACGTGGAACAAGAATAATGACATTTATTGATGGTAGGGATGCAACAGGTATCACCATTTTGAAAGACAGTTTGGAAGTTTCTTATAAAAAAAAATTTGTTTTAATCTTCTTTGGCCTATGATGCAGCAACCATGATCAATGTTACTTACTCAGTGACATAGCTGAAAACTTAAATCTACAAAAAACTTGCTTGTAGATGTATATAGCAGTTCAATTCCTATGCAGACAATGGGGTACTCTTCGGCATTAAGAAGAAATGAGCCATGAAATGATATTGAGGCAATTTAAATGCATGTAACTAAGTGAAAGAAGCCAATCTGAAAGGCTACATGCTGTTGATCCCAAATATGTGGCATTTTGGAAAAGTTAAAACTACAGAAAGAGTAAAAAGAACAGTGGATGCCAGGAGCTGGGGGGAGGGAAGGACAAATAAGTGGGACATGGAACAGTTAGAAAAGTGAAACTATTCTATATGATACTATAGTGGTGGATACACATCATTATACACTTGTTCAAACCCACACAATGTACACCACCAAGACTAAACAAAGCCTAATGATGTCTTTTGGTGAAAATAATGTATTAAGGTAGGTTAAATGTTTGCAACAAACATGCTAAACTGGTGAAGGATAATGATAGTGAACTTATATATGTGGGGACAAGAGTATTTGGGAAATCTCTTATTTTTTCTCTCACTTTATATTGTGAACCAAAAACTGTTATAAAACACACTTAAAAAGAAAGGAAAAAAGAAAAAGGATATCTACTATGCTCTTCACTGCAGAAGAAATCCAATGTTAGCACAGTGTAGACAATTCTTTACAGTTCAGACAGGAGTGTGGTATTGGTGAAACCCAAGAGTTGATGCCAATCAAAACAATACTGAGCTATACTACACACCTATGAGAATAGCCAGGCACCAAAATAATTATAACAACTGAGTTAAACCCCATTATTGATATGCTTAAGAAGTTACAGAAGTAGAAGCCAATAATTATCATAGGAATCAGAAATGTTAGAGCCAGTAGATAGAACTTAGAAGCAAACGCAGATACCATAGAAACTGCTGAAAATAAATATCTAAAACCCTTCTCACTGGGCTAAGGGAGAGAAAAACATCTAATCAGAAATCAAAATCCAAATTATATGTTACAGGCTGCTGACATTCTGAAGCTGGTCTCAAGGGTCCATTACTTTCTAAGTAATTTACTATCATAAACTTCATTTCCTATTTGATCCAACAGTTATTTATTTAGCAAAGGTTTTTATTTATTTTTATTTGTGTGTGTGTGTGTGTGTGTGTGTGTGTGTGTTTTAATCCAAAATTTTAGTTCATAAATTCTGTTATTAATTTAACATGCCTTTGCCTTTTGGGGAGAGGAAATCTTTCTTCTTTCTCATCTCACTCCAAATACTTGGGAGACTTCTGCAGTAAGGGACTTCCCCATCAAGGAATGCTGAAAGGAGCATTCCTGGTTTCCTCAGTTGCTCCTCCCCAAGCAAAGGTGAAAGGTTGACATTCCAGGGGTAGAGTTCCTATGCCTCAAAAAGGAAACAGGCTCTTTCTTAGTGCCTACTCCATGAATCAGGAAGAGTCAGGTTTTCTTCCTAGTTCCCCTTGGTTCCACATACCTAAAGCAGGCCACAGACCCTGATTCAGTTCAGGAAAACTCATCTCGAGTTTTTCATTTGTCCACACTGGATTTTGACAGGCAATCTGCAATCCTTTATGGAGAGCTGCAGTTCCAATCCAGAAGC